TATTGTTAATATCTTAAGTGTAAGTTATCAATATATTGTGTATTGTACAGGTTGACATGAAACATGGCTAGTAGTTATGAAAAACATCGATTATGTTTTTTTTTCATATAGGAGGGAAAATTGCATATAATGGCCAAGGTAGTATGCAATATGTGGGTGGAAGTGTAAGAACAAGAAGTATAAAGAAAGGGACAACATATGAAGGGTTGAGAAGAATGTTATCACCAATTATAAGATGTGAAAGCAATGGAAGTAAGATGAAGTTCATACTTAATATTGACAGAAACATGCTCATAGATCTTCTTGACGATAATGGAGTAGAACATTTAATTAAGTACAATGAAGAAAGTTGACATGTTTATATAGTTGCAAATGAGAATGACATTACACAAGTATCAATAGATGACCCAATTGAGTACCAACATGTGTAAGTTGTGTTAACTATTTTTATTAATGTAAATATAATATTAAAATGCAGTACTGTTAATGTGTTGGGATTATAATTTTTTGCAGGATAGATAATTTATTAGGAGGTTCAAGGGGAGACTCTTTATCTATGCCTAGTGTGTATCCTGAGATTAAAAACTCACCATTGGTAAGTGCTGTACAAATGAAGCTTACATTAATACCTGAAATGAATTCAACAAAATGGAAGGAATTGTTTATAGGTATAGCAGTGGCCTTCAGTGTAGTGGCCTTCAGATAAACTTTATACAAGTATAGCAGTGGTTACAAGTTTTCATACATGTTTAAAAAGAATAACTTACTACTATTAACTATCACAATTAACTGTAAACAAGTATTGCATATACATAATCAAATACAACGTATAATATAATTTCACTCCACAAAACTCTTTTCACAAAAAATTATCACCACTAGCATAATCAACTACCATCCAAATCTTCATATCACTTCGACTGAAACCATAGGCTCTTGTTAGGAAAACACACACTCATTGACCTGAACGCACCTTTATTGGTAGAACCACTTGACTAAAGGTATTCTGTTCCACTTTCAAACTATAATTTCTCTTATCACACATAATGATCCTGGTATTGTTACTCCAACATCACAAGATGAACTCCTACCCTTTTATGATCATGCTCACATACAAATTACTTGTATGCATTCAAATTCATATATATAGTTACATAGTCATATATCTCTATAAAAATTCATTTCTTGAAGAGCCTTTTTCATGCACAAACATTTCTTTTCTTAAAACATGCATAATGCATTAGCTATAATACTCACAAATAGTTACAATAGACAATCAAATAGAGAAATTTATTTAGTTATTGTAACCCATCTATTATGAGAAAAGGATTACCCATAGATTCTCACACAATTAACATCCCCACTCCTTCTTTTTCTCAAGTTATAATCACAACATAACAATCAATACACAATTAGCACTATTAGTTAATTAACCAAGTTGACCGTAACTACTAATTATCATCCAAAAACACATTTACCTATTCGTTTCCTTTTACTTGGTCAATCTAGATACATTGTAACTTGATCACCTCTTTTTATCACTTCAATCAATCCCAACACACCCTACTCAAATTTTCCATTCCTTTTTATCACTAATTTAGGGCTTAATTAGGGTTACAACTCTAAAGCTTTACAATTAACTAAAAGCTAGTCGCAAAACCTTAATTTGACACCTGAGACCCTTTTCATTACTAAAAGGTAAGAAACAAACCCTTAAAACTTCCCGATTCAATTTATTTATAACTTATATTAAGAAAAAATTAGTATAGAATCAAAGCTAAGAGTAGTACGAAACTTACCGAATAAGTCATTAGTCAAAAACATCCCCCAAGCTCCAATAATTCAATGCCCTAGCTAACCTCTGCTCTCTTCTCTCTTCTCTGCTCTTTTTCTCTCCCTTCCCTTCTGAAATCACAAGCAGTCCACGGCCTTATTGTTCACTTTTCTATGTTGTGTGCCAAGACGCAGGTAGCACTAGCCGTGGTGTGTGGCACATTGAGGAAACTCCTCACCACGCGGATTCACTTCACTTCAACCGGCAATTCTCTCAATCGTACCTGTTCATTCAACACTCCAAAAAGTCAAAACACTAAATTGTCATCCTATATCTTAACCACTCACTAATTATCTATTTACCTTCAATTAGCAATTACTTTTAGAATTAAGAAATTAGGATGTTATATCTTGTACATTAGCCACTACATCAAGTATATCATCTTGTTTTTTTTTCTGCTTGTTATAATGACATGACTAGAAAAGTGTCTTACTCTATTGATCTTTAACACTTGCAATATATACAAAATATTCCTTAAATCTCAATAAATAATATATCATAACAATATTTACAAATCTCAACCAAATCCCATTTAATAATATATAGTAACATTTACATTCTAAAGGATATGATTAAAGCCAAAAGGCAAAGTAGCCATGAACAAAAGATTTTAAAGCCAAAAGATAGAGGAAGGTTTAAATATTGGTATCTGGGCCAGCCAAAGCCTTTTAATTAGGTTTTGATGCGCAAAATTTGGCAGAAATACAAGAAAGAAATGAACAATGGAGGTGAATAAAGATGATTCTTCCAGGGCTTGTAAAATGAGCTTATAAGCTTATCTTAACCCCTTTGAACAAAAGCCAGGCTTCAAAAAATGATTGATTTTGGAATAATTGGGCTCATGGCATGGGCTTTTCAAGGTTTGGTATAGTGTTAAGTTTCATTGTTTCGCTCCGAATTTGAATGAAGAGGGCATTCTTGACGCTAGAGATAGAGCTAGAGGGCATCATTTTAAGCATGAATAAAACGTAAAAATTGAAGGAAATAAAAGGAATTTTTTAGGAGCTTGATAGAGTACAAACCATGAAAATCCAGCATGTCTAGCAAGCCCAACAAGGCCAAGATCGGCAATCCACAAGTGGTCCAAAGGCATCAGAGGATGACATGGATGATTATGTAAATGATTGTAGTAGGAATCCCCCCAAAGACACCAGGGCACAATTTTTGGCAAGCAATGGTTCAATACAATTATACGCACCTAGAGGAGTTCAATGGAGCTTTAATACGTTGAATTAGTACTCAAATGCATTGTTTAACAGACCATGGGAGTTTCAAAACAAAAATTGAACTTATTCAAGCTCAATGGATACTCAAATAGCCTAAATATGTGTATGGACATAAATAGTGATATAAAAATGCATATAGAAGGTCCAAGGATGAAGATTACAGTGCTAGAAGCCCAAAAAAATAATTTATAAGGCCCATGTGAAGTCCAGATCCAAGAAGTCACTTGAAATATCACGTAACAAGTATATGCCTTAGGGTAGATGATGGAGAGAGCACGTTTTCTTTTTTCTTTTTTTTTTTTAAAAAAAAACAGAGATTAATGGTGTGCACCCAAGTGACGTGCACCTTTTTGTGTTTATTTCTCGCTTCTTTTTAGGAGAGAGCACGTTTTCTTTTTTCTTTTTTTTTTAAAAAAAACAGAGATTAATGGTGTGCACCCAAGTGACGTGCACCTTTTTGTGTTTATTTCTCGTTTCTTTTTAGGAGAAGTGCATTTTAGCAAGGTACGTAAAACCGGACCGGTCATTAAACCGGTCATGGCACTGGGTCACGGGTTAGTGGTTCAATCAGGGTTGAACCGGGGGTTGAACCGGTGGCAAACCGGTCATGATTAAAATAATACAATTTAAATAAAAAGACATTAATTATAAAAACATTCAACCAAATCCAACCACTCAAAAGTCTAACAATAATAAAATACTATATTTTTGGACTTAGCATGCTCTATCTCTAATTTTTTATTTTTTGACTTCAATTTTACTTTTTTTTGTTATTTTTTTCCGAACTCAGAGCTCTGAAAAATTAAAAATGAAAAAAAAAAATCAAAAACGACGTCGTTTTGGGGTAAAAGTCTGAAAAAATATTAACCCGGTTAACCCAGTCAACCCACCGGGTTATCCGGGTTATACCGGGTTGAACCCGGGTTGACCGGGTTACACCGGTTCACTCCCTCACCGGGTTAAGTGCAAACCCAGACCGGACAGGGGACCGGTTCATCGGTTTCCGGGTTGACCCGGCCGGTCCGGTCCGGTTTTCAATACCATGCATTTTAGCATCTCATAGCTAGTAATCAATCAATGACTTGTGGCGATTATTTGAGAATAATTATTTGAGGTACACCCAAATGTCATCACTAATAATAGCAATAAGATCACTGTGTAAATAATTATTTGAGATTTAGGTCTCCCAACTATAAGTAACTTCACCTAAAATATATATAGGGAGAGATATAAAACGGTGAATCCCATTTCCCCATTACCCACATTATCAGAAGCGAGGCATTCCCTATTGTGTTTATTTCTCTCTCCACTCACGCACTTCAACATCTCAAAAGTAATCAATCAATGAGTTTTGACAATTTAAAGAAAAGCGAGTCATCATCTAGAGAAATTCTTACATGGACTTTGTACCCAGTGTCATTCATCAACATGTCATATTTCATCAGTTCAATTAAATAAAATCTTACATGTCATTATTTTAATGACTTTATTTTTTATTAGAGTGCCGTCTCTTTAATTTCATATCTTTTTTCTTATATCATCACTAATAACAAAATTAATTTATATTTATAGCTATCTGACATGACATGTTTTTTTACTGGATAAAGCATAAATGATATGGCGCAACAAGTCTATGTAAGAATTTCTCCCTTTAAACTACTGCCTCCGACCCAAAATATAAGTAACTTTCAACAATAATCTGCATACCAATAAAATCTTTATTCTTTTGAAAATATATATTATTTTTTCTTTTTTTCCCTAGTCTCACTTACCAATGATGAGTGAGAAAATGATAATGAATTCATGCAAGAATTCAAGTTAATAAATACAATAGGTAAAATGGGGGAAAATTTTCTACAACTACTAAGTTGATTATATTTTAGACTAAGATTAGTTAAAAGAAAATGCTTATATTCTGGAGGAGGGAACAAGGTTTAAGTCTAATCGACTTCATTAAAAATCTTTCTCAATTGACACTTTTGCAATGTGGAGAGCTGCGATGGAAAGACGATATCAAACTTAATTATAAGGTTTCCTTTTTCCCCTGGCCTGTTTGCCGAGGGCATGCCTTCGTCTTGGATCACAATCTCATTGTCTGGTTCTACAATTTCTGTGACAGAAGCTTCGATTTCTCTTCTATCCAACGTTGTAACTTTGATTGTCTTTCCTGTGAGAACCTCTGAAAGTGAAATCTTATGAGTGGTTATCAAATCATTTCCTTCTCTCTTGAAAATGGCATGAGGCTTCTCTTCCACCCCAATGATTAGATCAGCTGCTGCAGATTTTCTTTGTACTTGGTTGCCTTTTCCTGGAAAAGTGATAATTGTGTCTTTCTTCCAACCCGGCACTACATCTATCTTCAATATTTCATCAACAATCTTCATTCTTCTGCAAAGTTCATTCACATTTTCTTTCAATTTTGTTTCATCGAACGTCGTTTTTGAAGAATATATAGTAAATTCAAATATCTAGAAGCACACATGGCTGTAAATGAGGAAAATATAAATACGGGTCCCTATAGTTTTAATGTGTCTGGGAATAGGTCCCTATAGCTTTTTTCATGAGAGAACTACATTATTAAAGTCCTATACAAAAAATTAATTACTACAAGATTGATTAACAATTGAACTAAGGAAAAACAACAATATATTGTGTTGTCAATAGCCTTAGCTCAATTGTTAATGAACTTTGAAGTAATAAATTCTTTTGTGTGAGACATGTATGTAATTCTCTCTTTTTTCAGTACTCAAGGTCCTTCTAGTTTGTCTGATCTACAACATCAGCTCCTTTATTTTTTTTTAATATGCCCAAAAGGATGATGAGATGGTACTAATAGTGTTAAATATGTTAACCTGTGACTTTTTTGTGTTGAGGTAGAATTATGATTCAACATATTAACAGCGTTGTCCGCTCATGTTATTTCATATTTCAATCTATTGAATCATAATTCTACTGTAATATAGATTAATGGCAATAGCTGCAGGTCAGCATATTTAACTTCATTAGTATTGCCTCATCATTCTTTTGAGCCTATTAAAAATAGAGAGACTAATGTTGCACACTTAGGATAAACAAGAGAGATGTGAAGTGATGAAAAAGAATTACAAGGACCTATTTCAAAACACGTTAAAATTATAAAGATTAGTAATTGTGTTTTCCAAAAATAATTTCAGTGTTTATTTTTTCATGGTAAATTGATTATATAATCCCACAGACATTGCCATCAACGAAGGAAGAATAGAAAATTCTCTAAAGGAATACAAAGCAATCGTAACTGAGATAACAAGGCAGTAAAATTTCTCTGAGATGAGGTTTTTAACATGAAACAGGATAAGAAGTATAGTTATATGTATAGTTCCAAGTAGTGGAATAAGACAACTCAGCAATTTTTCTCATGACAGTATGATATTATATGATTATGACCTAAAATCATCATCTCTGCAAAAATAGAAAGGTTTAAAAGTTAATAGAGAATTTTCGCATTCATGCTGGTTGTTGAAACATAATAAATACTATACATCTAGGTTCCTTAATTCACATGATCTGTTTTGGTTAGATTGGCATGATGAATCAATGGGTGAATGACTCACCTCAAACCTCGTGTAATGAACAAGAAAATATATATCCAGTATAATAGGATGACCGATGACCCAATATAAGTATATATTGTCATTTGTAACTTCGAAAGCATATGGTATATATATGATACAACACAATACTTGCACCAAGGGAAAAAAAAAAAGATCACTACATTCAAAGTTCAAAAATGTTGATATACGGCGCGGCACTATTCTCGAGTTTTAATTTGAACAATGTAGCTTATTCTTATAGATATATCGATCAAGAAGCACGGATGAGCACTAAAGTAAAATGATAGATCAAGATAGGTACTACCCACGAGAATCAAAAACAGTCCTTGAATTTCTGAATCTTATTTTGCAGCCATTGTATAGATCTTCAAGGCTTAAAGGCAGTTTAGTGTATTCGTAATTCCCACTGGCTGATGCATTCATGTGTTATTCGAAGAAAAAATTAGCAAAGAATATAATGAAACGAAGAAAGGACGAAAAGAGAACCGAAACACAATTTCTATTTTTATTCTTTAAATTTAACATTGTGAACTTCAATTCAATATGTTTTGTCATGATTTTTCAGAATATAACCCTTTCGTAACTAAGGGGATACTATGACCACCCGGATCAAGGAACGATCTTTAGCAATCAATTTAATTCTTTCCAATTTCATCGTAGTTTTCTTTTCCAAAAAGAAATTAAAAAGTATCTATTTTCTATATCTTTTTGACTTTTGGGACTTCCGATTAAATTCAAATGAATATTTTTATCAGATAATATATATATATATAAAGATATTTCCTATATGTATATATATATATATGTTCTTTTATTATAATTGATTGATATCGTTTGAAGATGATAATTAAGGATAACCAAAAGCTAACTAGAGATAGGATACAATATTGTATCCGATTCATCATAATACAATCTTTGACTTCTATGTCATTGGAATGTGATTGATGACATGCCGTATGTGCAAACCGATGGTAATGAATTAATAAGTAAAAGATCTGTAATTAGACGTGCACCCACATGATTGAAGAATTACTATAAAGATTAATCAATCTTTATGTTATAGTCGACATTCTGAATTAATAGCCAATAAAATAATGAATGAAAATTTTCAAAATTATCTATAATTAATCAAAATTAAATTTAGACACTAATTTTGTTGCTTGACTAACAAGAATGTCATAACATTTATTTTAAACAAATTATTTAGCATTCAAAAACAAAAATGCAAATCTGTTTGGTTGAAATATTAAAACATAAGTTACGAATGACTCATGAACTTCTATATTCTAGAATCAATGATGTAGAAGAATTAATCCATTTGTACTGTATATCTGATTTGTTCAATTAATAAATTTCTATATTAGAAGTTTTAAAAGTGATAAAGATTGAAGGGAAAATCACAGTTAGTCCCCTCCCAAGAGAATTAATCACAGATAAGGACCAATACTAAAATGGGAACATGACTTTTTTTTTCCTCGAACAGGACTTATTATTGGTCCTTATTTGTGATAAATTTTCTTGAGAAGGAGCTGAATATAATTCTCTCAAGATTGAATTAATGAATTGATCGATTAGTTCATTAACACATTTTAATTTAAACCTACTGTTCTCCGCGTTATTATAAAATAATACATTGAGAAATATTTTATTTGTGAGAAAAAGTTCAATTAATCAAATGATTGTTGTTTAAAGATATTAATTTAAACACAAAAATATGTTTCGGTATTTGGTGTATTATTGTTCTTGACAAATGTACAGCAGTTATGGTGACAGGAGAGAGTGAGGTCAAAGCTATTGATGTAGGAGCAGATTTTTTTGTAGTGCAGTTTTCAAATAAAGAGGATCATAACTTATGAGAGATTAGATGATTACCTCGACTACATCTATAGAGAAGCCAACAACTGTGTTGATTGGCTTGTTTAATATGTTCTTAGAGATAATCTGGATATCATGATTTTAAACAATCCACCTTTAGTGTGTAATAGTTTTTTGAGCACTGATATAACTTGACTGTTGTCTTTTGCATGGCTTATGTCGTGGCCTTTCCCATTCCAAAAAGAGAGGATTATAACTTAGCACTTGCCAAGGTCTGTGACTAATCCATGATTATTATCTTGCAATTCAACCAGATATGGTAAGATAACATGGATTTAATGCTAGAGCTAGGAATAAGAGTTAAACCTGATAGGATCGTCCATTTAAACCCAGCTTTATAAGGGTTAGAACTTGAAAAAATAGCATTTCTTTTAAAGGAAATTGAACTTTGAAGCCTAACTTTTATGGGCATTACAAAGATGGGCTCAAGCTAAGGTAGCCCGTTTAAGTTCATTTTTATGGGAAAAATAGCAATCAAGTATCATAGACCAAAATTTATATCAATCAAGGATCAATTATTGTCAAAGCTCAATATTTGTTGATTTAGGTTAGTCTTTTTATTAGCAAGTATTCATTCAAGTTTCAGAATTAACTCATTCTAAATTAACAACAATCTATTTGGGCTTGTTTATTAACAAGTATTCATTCGAGTTTTGACAACAATTAATCCTTGACTAACATAAATTTTGTTCAGTAGTCCTTTATTATTATTTTCCCATTTTATAAGTGTTCAGGTTTGAAAAAATAGCATTTTTAAGGAAATCAGGCTTTGAAGACAGACCCTAAAAAAATTAAATTTTTATTATTTATTTTTAATTTTTGAACATTATAATTTATATTTTAAAATATATAAAATATTACAATTGAAAATTTTAATTCTCAAAAAATTTAAAAATAAAAAATTACGAGCCTAACCTTAAATTACTTGAATAAAGACCGGACTTCATAAAATAATTAATTTTAGAGTAATCGACTTTATGTGCTTGAGTTTCAAAGAGTCCAACCTATAGAAGTCAAGCCGCCATTTTCCGGCTCAATTCAGTGGGAAATGATTTGGCAGTTAGGACCCAGTTACAGGATATTTCCAACGTGATTGTTGGACAGGTCAAATCCAAAAGTGGTCATAATGAGCAGGTAGGAAATGGGCGAATTAATGTTGGTCTCAAGTCTGGTGGATTGGATGAACTTTTAAAATCAAAAGAAAGGTCGGGGTTTGCTATAGTGTCACGAGATTTTGAAGCAAAAATAGGCTATAGTGTGGACCCTGATAACATGATAACATTAGTAATTACTCTCTCTAATTCTATTAATAGGGTAGAGAGAGAAAGATTTTTTTTATCTAATTTATAAGTCACATTATTAAATTTTTATCATAATTTTTTTTACGCTCTATTAAAGTATGTATATTTAATAAGGGCAAAGTTAAAAATTTATTAAATTTTAAGACAAAGTTAATGAGTTTTAAGTTTTTTCTTGATATTGGTAAAACATATTAGAAGTGATTTATAAATAAGATCAAATGAGTAGTTAGAGGATAACTCATGCAACCATGCAAATTCAGGATCCACTTTATATTATTTGTGGATAACTTTTAGATTCACTATTCTAAAATTAAATTGTGCCTCATATTTTTAGACGTGACACAAAATATGTAACTATTTGATTGATTGAGAGAGGAAGAAAATTATTAAACAAAATTAAATTCAATAAATAACAACAATGCATGATAGAGGTTTGCTCAATATTTAACTGAGTGTACCTCCATCATTATTAGAAATGTTCATTGGCATGAGCATTAATATCTAATCTAATAATTATAAAGGCACTCACATAGTGATGCCAAAAGTAGAGCAGTCATGCTGATAACATTTTATAAAAATAGAAATTGGGAAAAGGAGAGAAGAGAGAAAACTATGTTGAGAGAATAGAAGAATAAAGAGCTTTTTTTTTTGATAGATAAAATAAAATTGATGTACTTTCTATTTATTATAGACACAAATATATCAATTAAAGTAAATAAAATATAGGGGATAATAATAATTGAAAGATATTATAATAATCAAAAGATATTGAAAAATATGAGGTAACGGACATTAACATAATATCCTAATATTCATAACAAAAATAAAATAAAATAATATTGAACTATTCGAGTATTCGGGCCAACTCAAAAAAGCCCTAAAACCTGAGGGGATAAGTTAAGGCTTAACTATATAAGCTTTTTAATATATTAGGGCATTTTAAGCTTGATCCAAACAAGTTCGGCTTGAATTGAGCTTAGCTTGAATAAGCCTACCCCACCCTAATTATTGCCTTTAACTATAGTTTTGGAGGTCCTATTTGAAATAAACTTTTTGTGTAGAATGATTAAATTGCCCTAATGTTCAAAAGCAAATAACGTTATGGACTTAACAATTAATGCAAAGAGATTAACAAGTAATGTTAGTGATTTTACAAGTAAATTTAATAATTTAGCAAGTTAATAGATAGATTTAAGACAAGTTAGAGATAATGCACTTGTAATATTATGAACTTAACAAAGCAATACAAGAGAATTAATGAAGTAATCTTAGCGATTTGACAAGAGTCTATAACAATTGCATTTATGTCGTTGCCAAGCAATGCTCAGCCACATCAGAACACAGGCGGTACATGTAGCTCCTGCAAACATGAGAGGACAAACTACCATGGTATGATTTCTCTAAGTCAATCTTCAGAGCCATATTTCTACTTTTAATACTGTTAAAACCTCTTTTGCAAGTATGATATTATCCGTATTCTGCTTCCCTAGAATAAAACTACACTGGTTTGGTGCAAGCATAAATTTTTTTCAACTTGTTCCTAAGACCTTTGTAACCACTTTATACACCACATTACATAAGCTAAACCCGAATCATTTATGGGGACTCAGTTTTAGGAATAAGCACAATGTTAGGACGTGTCTGGTTTTCAATTGACAAAAATTGATTATAGAAAAATTAATTATTAAAACGTGATGATATTTAGATAAATTTTTAGAAACTGATTTTGATAAATTAAAAATGTTTGGTTAATTCCTTGAAAATTAATTTTGAATGAGCAAATAACTAATACAACGACAAGGAGCCAAATGGAGTTTTGAAAATGGAGGAAATTTTAACTTCTCCAAAATGGAGTTTCACAAGTCAAATGAAGTTTTGCAAAATGATGATGTTTGTATAAATTTTTGCAAAACCATGATTTTGATCCCATAATTGATTCCCAACTGAATATCCAAACAGGCTTTGATGTTAGTGCCATTTGTGCGTTGAACCGGCCTCTTACAAAGCTTACTGGAAAATAGATTCACCATGCAGATTACTAAGTCTCGATTCCTACTACTTCCCACTGATTTTGATGAAAAAACAAAAGGATTTAACCCATCTGAGCCTGGAGCTTTCAACGGCTCCATACTGAACAAATTAAGGCCATCTTAATAATCTCAGGGCTTGTTACCTTCTGT